AGTCCGACAAGTACTAAACAAAGGTAACCTACATCTCTTTTCATTTTTGAAGTATCATTGCCAAAATATACTCCAAGGGAGATGCCTAAAACCAATGGAAAAAGGGAAAGAAAAGCGCCTGCAAACATTCCCATAACAAGACCTGAAGAAAGCATCATAAACTCCGGCTTTTGCAATTTCCATACCTCAGAAAGTTTGTATTTTCTTGGCTTTTTGTCTTGTTTGTCTTCAATATCTTCTTGACTCTCATCCTGCATTGAATCCATGTGCTTAGACCTCGAGATATCAACTAGATAACTTGATTTTGCTATATCAGAAGCATATTTATTATTGATGGACGATAAATCGTTGGCTTTTTGCATGCCATTGTTTTCTACAGGAAGAGGTTTTGAAATGGACTCAGTTGCAAGTTTGACAAGGTTGTAGTAGGTTCCGGATTTCGCCATAAGCTGACGATGGTCACCGATCTCAGTTACAGAACCATGTTCAAGAACTACAATGGCATCTGCATTCTTCACTGTAGCTATCCTATGAGCAATGACAATGGTTGTTCTGCCTGCAGAAATCTTGTCAATAGCCCTTTGGACTGCAGCCTCCGACTCAGCATCAAGAGCACTAGTCGGTTCATCTAAAAGAAGAATTTTAGGATTCTTTATCATTGCTCTAGCCAATGCAATTCTTTGCTTTTGACCTCCTGAAAGTTTTGTACCTCTATCACCAGCCTACAAAAGAATATAATACTTTCTATCGTCAGAATTCGAACAAGTCGCTATTGTTCTGCAATATGCTATTTAGTACAAATGCTGTCAAATAACGGTTATAACAATGCTAGCATAATCTAGAAATGGAGAAAGACTTTTGTGATTGGTTACTGAACCTGAGTGTCATAACGTAACGGCAAGCTAGAGATGAATTTGTGAGCATCCGCAGCAATACAAGCAGAAATTGCTTCTTCCTTGGTGGCATTATCTTTCCCCATCATCACATTTTCGAGTATAGATGTAGCGAACAGAACTGGCTCTTGACCAACCATCCCAATCTGATCCCTTAACCACTTTACTTGCAGTGTCCTCAAATCATGACCATCCAAGGTAACAATCCCTTCAATAGGGTCATAAAACCTTTCTATGAGAGCAAAGATAGTTGATTTTCCACCTCCACTTGCACCAACCAACGCCAAAGTTTTCGAAGATGGAAATACCAAATTAATGGAATTAAGTATAAGTGAATCCGGACGAGATGGATATGCAAAACTAACATTCTTTAACTCTATCCTTCCGCGAGCAGACGAAAGCTTCCTACCCTCAGAATTGTACGGATCAATCTCGGGAATTCTATCTATAATATAGAACACACGGCTTGCTGCAACAGTTCCTTGTGCAAATTGTGCAAAATACGAAAGTGCCAATGCCAAGCCTCTGTCGATAAAAAAATAAAGTAACATATGAGAGAACAATCAAATCGAACATTATAAAGAAAGTTAGAGAGAGACGACGAAAACACACCTTCCACCAACATTGACACCAAAGAAACAAGCAATAGCAGAACCACCATCAAGTTCACCTTTGGAAATTAAGATAGAACCATACCAAAAAGCCAAAGCCCATGTTGAATATGTTACTAAGTAGATAACACCCATTCCTGCACCTTTAGCAAAACCAATTCTGGCACCAATTGGAGCTGATTTTTGAAGTAACTCAGAATATTTTTCACCCAACTGGCTTTCAGCAACAAAAGAAAACACTGTCCTAATCGAACTTATGGTCTGCTCCGCAATGCTACCAGCTTTCCTATAAGAAGCCTTCATACGAGAAACATATATTAAGTAATTAAGAACGAACATATGTAAGAATTTAACTGATATACACTGACGGTGTATCAAAATTAATGAGAAATAGCTATGTGTTTGTTTTGATCTTACTTCTTCTTTTGCGGTTAGACCACCATAAAGTGCTTTGTAAGTCATACCACATAACATTGTTAATGGTGTGACCGAGAAAACTACCAACGATACTTTCCATGATCTTTTAAATCCAACAGCATATCCACATATGAATGTAAACACATGATGAATGAAGTGAGCCATCTGCATTCGGATCAAATAACTTGTTAAGAATGTAACTATAAATTTATCTTAGCAGAAAAATATTAACAAGAGTTAATTAACCTTCTCTCCCATAACTTCTTGAATTTGTGCAACATCACTAGCAATTCCATGCATAATATCCCCGGTATTAATCTCCGTATCGAAAAAACTTATGTCCTGTCGAAGAATTGCTCTTAGATACTCGGTTCTTATTCTTTGAGCTGATCTCTCCCCAACTAGTCTCCAACATGTAATCTCTGCGAATTTTAGCATCAAAAAAATCGTTGTTCGTACATCATGTGTTCTAGACAAATATGATTAATTAGTGACTAAATGATTTAATCTCCTTACCCATATATGCTCCAACTACCACAACTGCAGCTAAGCCAGTCATAAATACACATATCTGAAAATTACAATAAGAGTAAGACAATGAAAACTTACTCCGAATCACGCATCTGACATAGTCATGAGATTTAGACCATTGGATTAAAACAAAACACGATTTTAAAATATGAATTGTCAGATCTTAATATGATGTTCCCTATTAGCAATATGCGATTGCGTGAATGGAGAGAAAACCCAAGTCTCCAATCGCACAATCTCGATAAAGGAGAATTAGAATACCTGCTCAACATCCTTCATCAATTGACCTTTGTCATTTTTTGCTTCTCTTGAAAGCTTGTTAACCAAGTTTCCAAAAAGATAAGAATACCAAGGAAGTGATCCGCCGTTTATAAGAGCACCTACGCAGCCGATAAACACAAGTAACCAATCCCAATTTCTTGTATATCTAAACAAGCTAAACAGCCCAACATTCTTTGGAGGACCTGCAGCATCATCATCATCCTCATCCATATCCTCATCTCCTCCATCATCATATCCTGATACCATTTTACTCTCATAATGACTATAACCGCCACCACCACCATAAATTTGACTCGGAGATTTGCTACCATACGGTGGTACTGCATGACCATGATCACGATCATGTTTAACATGTTCATCTGATACACTATAATCGATCGCACTGAGCTCGTCTTCTTCAGCTAATGGACTAGTCTTATTATGAATATTACGATTTCTGCTACTAATTCCTTCTTTGATGATTCCCAATTTGGAGAACCCACTATAATGATCAAAGTAACTATGATCATTATTATCCCTAGCAACATGGCTCCTAAGTTCAACTCTCCCATACGAAGAATGTTCATTTGTTGAGTTTGTATGGTCACGAAAACCGCCTATTCTTGCAAGGTAATAGTCATTAGCCGACTGGCGAAACACACGGCTACGATCAGATGCGGAGTTGGTTGGCCATGGACTAAGAACAGAACCGAAATTTGTGCTATGTTCACGCAACCCGGTTGGTTCAAACTTCCACGAAACCTCACTTTGCCATGAACGGTCGTCGTCTGAGGCAAATGGTGTGGATGGAATTCTGTTGCGACGAGTTCTTCTCGTTCTCGGAGTCACGTTGCTTCGAGAAGTGGAATGTATGAAGGAGCTAGAGCCAGAAACACTGTGATAACTCACTGGAGTTGGATAGTGCCTTCTCTGGTTGGTGTCTATCTCAAAGGAAGAATCAGCCATGGCTAGCTAGCTAACTACCTAGCTGCCGGTGTATGGTTTTTTGTAATGATAAGTTGTAGAAAAAGTGATGAAATGTTCAACTTTGTGATTAGTGTACATAGAGATTGGTCCAATTTAATGAAAACTTTGTATAATATATTTATGCAGATATTCTTGTGCTAGGACGGCACATATTGCCATATGGCCGGCATAGCATAAGCATTAAGCAACGTTAATTAGTTTAAGACTCTTTATTCAGAGGATAATGTTGGTATTGAACTTTTGAAGTGACTTATGTTATGTAGTTACTGAACTTTTGAAGTGACTTATGTTATGTAGTTATTTATGAGTATGTCTTGAGTCAAACTTTCTTTCCTCTTATCAGAACAGAATATGCTTATTTCGCATGTATCTTGTTGTGGCCTTTCCTTAGTATGATGTTCTCATATATAATTAAAAAGTGAAAAACTTGACCAAGGATTTTTAAAACGAATATTTGAGGAAAAGGAAAAGAAGAAACAAACAAATACTAACCTAGTAACCATACAAGACATAAATGTTGTCCCGGTAGTAACGAGATACGGTTAAACCGATTTGTTGTTAATTGATAAAATACCGATTTGTTGTTAATTGATAAAATCGCTTCATAGAAGTCAAATACCAATAGTTTATCCATGGTACTTGAGTGCTATTAACACAGAAACTATATATTTATCTTTCTTTATTGAGCTTTGAATGTCATATAATTATAATGAAAGGTACAAACTTTTACATTGGCAAAAACAGTTTGTTTCTTAGGTACCAAAATGCATTTCCACTCACCCTTGAATATATCATGAAATTGAACATTAATAGCTGAGTCTATACATCCAATGGTACATTGATGAATAACACTAAAGTGGCAAAGGATTTCAGTGTTTCTTATTTGTCTGTTCATGGAGGGAAATAATCTTTTTCAATAAGCTAATATTATACTCCGCAATCACATTACTCTTAATTCTGACTATACTGACTAACAAGAGTTCATCTCTGATATACATCATCAGACAAGTAAATCGAAGTAAAAACACGTAAAAAAGAATGCCACTACTGCCAAAACTACAAAGATACTGCACTAGTATGCAGCATATTTAAACACAACCATGACTAACTAAATCAAAGGGAAAAAAACTCGTGAATCCAAGAAAATGTACATTACTCCATATTTATATATCTTTCATATAGATACTTTTATCATGCCTACCTCTCTTTTATGTATCATAATTTTTTTTTATGCTTTTTCCTTTACACCCTACCATTGAAGATGACTCAATTCACATGCCAGACCGAACTCAGTGAAATATCATCTAGGTTTCGAGTCACTTCCCTTGCTTCGGAAAGTCGAGAGCGAAAAGAATGATTTCGGAGCTGCACAAAATGGATATTAATGTGTAAATTTTATGTTGTTGCGAGATCGATACTAAATCTGAAACAAATAAGTTTACATCATAGACATCACCTTTTAATGAACTTCCTGATATATGATCATCCCTCAGTTTAAAATGGGCAGGAGGTGCGGGAATAGAGCTTTGTAAGGATTGAACTGCAAGAATTGAGAATCAGATTACCAATTACAAACTTATTCATATTTATTCGTTAAACATTAACATGCATTTCCAAAATGAACAAGATGTAATCAAGCATGTTGATCAATAAGAAGAAATTTGAGTAAATAATAGGCTACCCTGTTCGCTGAACAGCTCACTTTCATTGAAGCTGTCATCAGAAGGATGACCGTGAGAGAATCCCATTCTCGATTTCCTCAAGTCTTCTGATGACCGATTGGCTAGATCTCGGCCATCTTCCATATCATCATCTCCTTCAGAAGTTGTAGCAGAGATCCAATCAGCCAAAGTCTCTGACCCGCGAGTTTTTCTCCCAAACTTTAGTAATCGCTTAAAGCCTTTTGTGACATCTTTGCGAGGTTGATTTTGAGATGAATTAGCAAGATAAGGTTTTTGAGCACTACCCCACTTTTTCCTCATTCGAGCAGCGTCATTTTCACCCTGGATGAGGGAACGAGAATTCCAAGCAGGGCTTCCAATTGGAGAATCAATAGAAGCATCAATGTCAGAAGACTCGTGCGTGTAAGAAAAAGGATGAGGCACTCGTGAGTTCCAGGACACGGGACTTTCAACTGGAGAGTCCTGCAGTGATCCTACTCCGTTGAAAGTTGATTGATATGCATTAGGCATTTCACCCCCTAAAATAGAGTCGACTTGAGCAAGAGACCTTGTAGAGTCACCAATTTCAGACTCAGAATTTCCAGATTCCTGGCTCGGACTAATCTTCCCATTATTATTATAAGCACTATCTTCAATAGCCACACCTCCAATTTCATCATTTTCTTCTATGGCCGAATGGAATGAATCTTCCATATCAAATTCTAGGTCACTAAGTTCTTTATTTTTCTCAGTATCAGATGTCATTGAAGCTTTCATCCTCATAGCACTGCCTACAAAACCAGGGCCTGCGGTACTACCCTTTTTAAGGAAAGACCTGGATGATTGATCATAAGGGCCCAGATCAGACTCATCCAAATCAAATTTCAAGGGAGTCAAAACAATCCCATCTGAGTTCAAAGAGGATAAATCCTTAAACTCTGCGGGGTTGGCCGAGCTCTTCCGTAAAGACACACTTTGTCTTAGCTTCTCTTCCTTGATACCTTGCTCATCTTCATTAGTACTTTTGCTACGCGGGAAGTTTCTCAACTGAGAACGGGTTGGTTTACTGACTCCAGAAGAAGGCTTTGTATTTTCTTTTCTTAAATCAGAGAAGTTTGGAACAGATTGAGCAAGAGGATTGTCTTTCCGTCTTCCAGATGAGCGCGGCACTGAAACTGCTGTGGTGCGAGGTGTGCCTGAAGACACATTCCTGTTAGGAAAATTTTTCCTATTTTGCTTTGAAGAACCATATATCTTTTCTTCCGAAAATTCAGAAAGATCTTCATCCTCTTCATTCTGAAAGGAATCTATAGGATGCTGTTGAAAAATAAGGGATTTAAATTAGAAACATAATGGATTTTAAGCTTTAAATGTCAAAACAAGCTTGAATTCGCAGAAGATTTAAACATAGCAGCAAAAACAACAGAGCAAGAAACAGTCACCTGCTCTCTCTTAACACTTGTTTTGTTGTATCCAAATCTCTCGGCGCGTTGAGAACCTCCTGCTGAATTTTGTCTGCTTATAGACCCTGAAAACTTGGCTATCATCTCAGCCTTACTCCGGTCAAGACTATCCTGCATGGCCTTCATCCGAGCTTCCTTCTCTGATCTGTTCACACTCCATTCTTCCTTTAGTTTAGCATTCCTCTTCTTCATGTACTTTTCATAAAACTTTCCTCTAGACTCATCACCATAATTCTGACTATCCCCCGTCTTTGTAAGGGACTTAACACCAGAGCTCGTAGCTGGTTCAGGCACACTGCTTTTAGAAACCGGCTGAGGAGTTGAATCCCCCGCTGCAGGTCTTCTGGACTGCGAGTTAACAGCCTGTTCAACACGTGAATCAGCAGGCTCGATTCTCCGTGCAGTACCAGATTGGTCTCCAGGAACCCTAAGTTTATGCTCAGCAAAAAGCTTTTCAAGCTCATCTGCCTTCAGTTTCAGCTCATCATGCATCTCCTGATTACCTTTAGACTGCCTTACTCTCTGACTCTGCTCCAAAGACACGGCGGTTACACGGGCATTATCCTGACTCTCCAAAACATTCTTTTTACCAGGATGGTTCAACTTGGCACTTTCATTATCATTAGCACGCCGTATTTCATCCCTTTTACTCCGTGACATCCCGATTTGCTCTGAACTAGAAGGTAGAGGCTTCTGATATTTAGTTTTCATGACTTGAGAATCCTCTTCCTTAACCTGATTCTTTAAATCCTCAGTTTCTACTGGAAAAGATCTCAACTGAGGCTGAGTTGTAGATTGAGCAACACCATTTAAAACAACAGAAGAATGAGAAGAAGTAGAAGGTTCCCTTGATTTGATTCCACCACCACCACCTCCACCTTCAAACTGGGCTGAAAGAGACCTAGAATGACTACGTTGGACCCTACTTAGTGACGTGGGAACCACATTACTTTTCACACCACCCTGAAACTTAACATCATCATCAACATCTTTATTATCATCAACAGTAACCTCGTACCTATCAGATGAACCTTGTTCCTTGAACCCTACTCCTCCTCCACTCCTCTCTTGATCAAAAACCGAATCTTTACAACTCTCCTGAGAAAACCCTTCATCAGTTTTCACAACCTTGTCCGAATTCATATTATTATTATCATTATGATTATTATTGTTATCTATGGAGGTTTTTTCCGTTGAAGAGGAAAGTTTTTTCTCGATGCTGACGTCAATGCTCATGTCACTGCCCCCACTCCACCGTCGCAAAATGTCGGAAGACATTCTCCGAAGCTCCACCGGTTTTCCGGTGGTATTCTCTTTCTGTTTCTTCTCGAATAGGTTGATTCGGTCTTGAACACTGAGCCGCCGGCCCGATGGAGCCGGTGTTGGAGACGACGGTAACTGAGCCGGCGATGACGACTCGGTTTCTTCTTTATTGTTGCTGTCGTTGTTGTTGTCTTTGGCTTCGTTTTTCAGGTTTGCGTTGCTGTGTCGTAGTGATGTGGAAGTTGTAAAGGCTTTGGGAAGTTGCCACGTGGAAGTCTTGTTTTGTTCTGGGGCCTGATCGTCGTCGTTGTCGATAGACATGTCAGAGTTAACCGATGAACGAAGCTCCCTGTCATCGCCACGTGGCAGTTCGTGTTGGTTAATGAGGTCCGGTCTTCTTTCATACACAGACATATATTTCGTACATGCTTCACTATAAATCAATAAACAAAACAACACAAGGGTAATATTAGTCATTTCCTAAATAAACAAAACAACACAGGGACATATTAGTCATTTCATCAAAAACAAAACAACACAGGGACATATTAGTCATTTCATCAATAAACAAAACAACACAGGGGCATATTAGTCATTTCATGAATAAACAAAACAGCACAGGGGCATATTAGTCATTTGATAAGTATTAAATGCAATTTATACATATTATATTGAGTTAGAAGGTTGGTAGAGTTACTTCAAGCGAAGAGAACGAAAATGAAGTGCAAAAAGTTTGAGTTGAGAGACGGTGTGAGGATTAAAGCCAGATGCTGATGCAGTGGCGTATGCTGTGGTTAAGTCCTGCCTAACTGCACTCAGTCTCACATCAATAGCTCTTAGAAGTTCCTTCCTGTACAAGTCGTAATAACAAAAGCAATTATCAGTAAATAAAGCTATCAGTTTCAAACGATCATAGTCTTACAACTACTACTAATTGGAATGTCTTTTCCTGTTAACTTTTCCTTGTCTGAAAGGTCATGTTGTACATTAAAATCATTTATGTAGATGTGTAATCTTTACCAATTTATCTTCCATATATAATCAATAGTTTCTTACAAAAGGCCTATATTGGTCTTCTTGGCATTTTCCTAAATCATCTTCTGCCAGGGTTTCTTATCTTTTCCAGATGAGGTAATATCAATACTATCACTCTGAGTTATATTTCTTAGTTCTCTCATCATCCTTGTTACCATATACCATATTAGTTTCAATAATAACAAAAGGGGAGTCTCTTTTCTTTACACATGTAGCTGCAAATTTTCTTATATCTAGTCACGGTAGAGGATATAAACCACATAGAATAAGATAACATGCAATGAAAATTGATAGAAATATTACGTTGTTGCATCTGTCGCTGCGATGACTCTTGTTCCTTCACCGCCTGGAGCAAATCAATCAAAATGTTATGAGACTTATGAAACCTCTCATATCAACATGCCTAATTCATAGTCCCTTCCACATTGCATTGCATACCAACAAGCTCAATAAAATAGATATAACATAACATATCATAACAAATAGCAACTGCATCTAGTATCAAATCTACAGGGTATGGCTACATTGTTTAAGTTACTATGAAATAAAAAAAGTAATCTCAACTTTTTCTTTGTAGAGTTCTTTTAAATATAAAGTTCTTATATCATCTGTACTTTACTAAATTTCTTCATTTTATCATTCTTTTCTCTGCATCAAAGTTCAGGGGATTCCTAGGTCAAGCATGACTTCCATTCTCTATTTCTTTCTTCTCTTGATACAATTATCTTGCCTCATTTTCATCTTATCTATGTTAGGGATGGAAAAATATCACCATCCGCGGATACCGTATAGATTACTCGCAATGGAGGGAGAAATGGATATCTACTCGGTGGGTGGGGATAATAATACCTGTTCATCGATACCTGATACCTGTTTATGGATACCCGCGTATGCATAACAATCATTTCGTTATTAAATACTATATATATGATGTATTGCGACATTTTTTATCGCTTTTAGATGACATAAAGTGCTTATTTCATTATTTTATATATTGTAGGGGATGAAGAGTAGTCAATCTCGGATAGCGGCCCGGAGCGGTCGACCCTAAAAATGGGGTAGCGTATATCTGGATGGCCGCTATTTGATCATTTTTTTGACAAATTACATGAATAATAATTATAAACTTATGAAGTGTAGAGGTGAGAACGAAGTGCAGAGAGAGGTAAGAAAGGAACTTGTGATTTTTCTATGGAACAACTTAAGTGCGGAAACGTTTTTGAAGGAAGATGAAGGTGGAGTCTCAACTCAAATTTTATTGAAACCCCCAAAATTACCCTTAAAACATTTTCAATTTAAGGGGTAATCTGGTTTTTTCGAGGGGAAAAGGATAGCGGGACAGAACCCGCTATTTATTCTTTAACGGTTGCTATAGTGTTTTGCATCGCTAAGGCTCTTCCCATAGCAGTCGGTCTCCGCTCCGTTATAGCGGGATAGCGCCGCTATTGACCGATGAACTATATCATTAAAATTGGTTTTATATATATGGTATATTATACAATGTCGTCGCGCCCCATTGTCATCCTTAATCCAGATATAGAACTTCCATCAAAACGATATTGAGTATAAACTAAACAATAACTAAACTAATGCAGAAATAGCATAACATTCCAAAAGGGTATAATAATTTAAAACAACATGGCATCAAGATTTTATCATAACAATTATTCCATTTTATGATCAACTACGTACATTGGCGACATACTCAAAGAGGAAACAATAATGGAAAACATATAAAGTTTATTGACAAACTTCAATATTGATCGAACTTTCAAATTTGGACTAAATATCATCCTAATCAAAATAACTAAAATTTTATAATTGTCTCATCTCATATGTTACTTTCATATTGTACAATCGAAAAAAGACTATGTATCTCCATGCCAACATTGAATGCAGTCTAGAGTCTAGTGTCTATTTGAAACAAAAACATACCTTGTGAATCCATACGCTGATCTCCTGTCCCCTGAAATAAGACATTCAAAATTAGCAACATAAAAAAATAAAGGCATTGCTTTTGTCCGGTGTTTGCACCAATTTGCTCTTACCTGAGAATATATTTTCCGTGCTGCTTCCAACTGGGACATCTCTGCATCAAAGGTGTTCACCATTTCCAAAACTTCTGGCATGCCAACATACCGCACAAACCTGTGAGCATCATCAACACCAACCAGTCAGAAAGTAGACCAAAAGCCCCACTCGCCGCATACAAATGAAGCAAATCCAATTAACACTAATATCGCCTTCACCTCTCAAACGTTCCTTTCGTAAACCACGTCTCGGAACTTCTCTGTCTATCAATATCTAGTCTGATTGACTGCACAGAAAGTGCTGCCTGCTCTTCTGCAACCTTTAAATGGTTCAAGTATGGCTTTACTAAACCTGATGCTAGTTTTTCGGTGATTCCATCACTCGAAACAAGCAACTCACATCTGCCAATGTAATATAACGAAAAACAAAAACATGATCACAAACTCTAACCAGCAGAAAAACAACAAAACATAATAAAAAAATCCAATGAATTATATCCACACCTCGAACGCTTCGGAGACAATTGCAACACGGCATAGTCAAGAAGAGTTTCAGACCTCATTTTTGTCTATTTAAGGTAACACTACACCACTCCTCAGATCATTTCAATTTTCACAACCATTCCTTGTACAGAACCAATCATAATCAGCAAAACTGCACACAAGAAATCCCAAATTCAGAACGTAGTAGATTCTCTAAAACCACACACAGAGAAAAAAAATCTCAGAAAACAAAAACTCTGCCAAATTCTATCAGACCAACAAATGTTACCAGTTCATCATTCCCAAATTGGCATTACTTAACAAAATCCACATTCTCATAAAACCCAGATGCACAAAATGGTCAATAAATCCGTCTAACTTCCATCAATAGATCCCAACTCAAAACCCATCAAAATTCAAGCTTTATTGCAGCAAAACAGAAACCCAAAATCCCCACAAAGAATTCATAACAAAAATAGATCTGATTCAGCAAAAGACCAAACTTGACTAAACAAGTAAACTCACATACTTCACACAGAAACCCAAAATCCAACACCAACCCATCAAACCCCACAAACCCACAACATCAAAAACAACCAGAATTCCAAGCATTATCACAGTCCAACAAAAACAAAATGCACGGTGCAAAATCAAACTTAGAAACAAAACAAAAATACACAAACCCTAAAAATCAACATTGTTAAACATGGAAGATCCAATGCAAAGTTGAACAATGAAGGTAAGAGATCTTGGATTTCTTAACCGATCCTCCGATTTAGAGTCGAAAAGGGTACCAGCATTTGCCTCTCCTTTTCTCTCTTCCTTTTTGTGTCTCTCACTGTGGAACAAAACCAAATGAACCTATTTCTTCATTTTCTTTTCTTTTTTTTCTCTCGCAAATTTTAATTTTTTTGAGTTTTACGAAAACCCCACAATGAAAAAGATGGTTTTTGCTTTACTCATCTTTCAATTCAAATCTGTTTCTTCTCTCTTTCTCTCTCTACAACCTGTCTCTTAGTTGAGAAAAAACAAAAATAAAAACAAGTTTTTGTTACTGTGTCACATGTTAATTAATGTAGTAATAACTACAGTAACTGTTTTAAGAAAATTAGCAACTAACTAGGATTTTTCAGTTCAAAAAGACAAGAAGAAAAACCTATAGTGTTGTGTTGTTGTGGTGAATGCTGATTGAGTAGAGACTTGAGTTTTGACTGAAACTGTTACATGATATTATTATATTGGTATTATATTACTTATTATTTGATTTTTTGTTTTTGTCTTAAGATTGATTGATGTTGTTAATGGTGGTTATTCATCAGTTAATTTCTTGTTCAAGATATGGTGGTGGTTAACAGATTTGACACATTTACTCTCCCAATTTAAATTATAAAGTGTTTTAGAGATTATGAAATATTCTTTTCGTTTTAAGATATTGTATTTTTATTAAATTAGTTTTTATTAATTTGTTAGAAGTAGGATCCATACTATTAATTAAATGGCATAATTGAAAAAATAGTAATAATTGTTACATTTAAAAGTGAAAATGATATTATTTTAAAATAAATTTTTTTCTCTAAAATGATATTCATTTTGAAACACGTGCAATATAAATAGTTTTATTTAAAAAATTATAATAGAATTTTAAATGTTAATTTAGTATATTTAGGGTCGTCTATCTTTTCAAATATCTTATAGGTTAATAACGGTTAAGTGTGAAAAATTATATAGAGATCATATTTTATTCAGTTTAAGTTTAACTCTTGACAAATATTTTATGAGATTTTTTTTAGTCACGACTCTGAGTATACTATATATGAGTTAAGAAATATACTTGATTTTACAATTATATCTATATACAACATGAATACTTAGTTTTTATGTGATTTTTTTAATTATACTTTTGTAATAATAAGTGTTTAAGCGACTCTATTCAAATATAAAATGGTATGGGTCAAAGCACCTCAACTCAAATATTGTATCAATCGTCAATAAAGAAATATCATCTCTCAAAGAATATAGTGAGTTCATTAGTAAGGTTCAAAGTCAAAAGATATAAGGTGTACACCTCGACATGAAATGATAACACAACGTGATAATTCATTCATGAGGTCATCTCAGAAAGCTAATGTGTTTACAACTAAGGCATATAGAAGCCTTGATGTGCTTTCACTCTTTTGAGTTATATATAGCATACTCAAACTAGATATGTGTTACTGTAATCTCATAATTATTTATTATACTTGCTTACATTTAAAACAAATAAAATGTTACACAGGATAAGCATACAAATGATTGTAAGAATATGTGATGGTCCCTTAAATGATGGTGAGCACAAACACAATCGTGTTTGAACCAACCTAATATTTCTTAAGTTTATCGGGGTCTAATATAATCGTTAAGACAATAAACTTAGTTAAAAACACATTAGGTTTGGATATCTATGATTTATGGTCATGCTCCCTATTTATAACACCATTATCCAAAGAAGACGTAAGATGGCGTGAATGGTACAACCAAAGGTTAAGGGAGTCACACACAAGTGGATAGACTCATTTGAACTTATTGAGGAATAAAAGACAACAGTCAAACATGGGCCACCATGTATCATAAAAATGGTGGGAGCAATCAAACATTAACAATGTAAATACTCGAATAAGGCAACAATTTCAAATAACATCCAATAAAGCAATCAAGTCATTTGTGCAATTCTAAGGTTCGTATTTCAATTTCCTATATTTGTACTTAGTACGCTTTAGAGTAGTTAGCGAAATAGCATTTGAGAGATAGAGATCCTCATTATAATCAGTTGAAGAAAAAGGGAATCATGGTTTATAGTTATTAGTCAAATCTCATGGAAACTTTCACAATTTGACAAAAATAACAAAGTCGTGTTTATTCATTAACGATCTTGTGTATCATTATCGTGGAAATAGAAACTACATGAAGCGTATATCAGTTCACTCATAAATCACAAAAAATAAGGGGTTCATCCCTTAGGCATGATAACTTAATCAAGTTTCCTACTTGTTATCTGCATAAACATCGCCTTATTTTGACAAAAGAATGTCTACGCAGGTACATCCATCTTCCATCATTTGTAAATCACAACAATTATCTAATTGTTACAATACTTATTTAGATGATCCATTATGTAAGTTCACACTAAAAAATTATCGTTCGTGGATGGGCACGACAAAAATTATATAGATCGAAAAGCTAATCTAAGAAGATCATTTACATAAACATGTGGATAAAAAAGATTCACATAAAAAATCATAATTAGTAGGGGTGAACAGAGGACGAATTGGGATAATAAACCCCAACTTTGTCATAAATTTTGATTGGACGGTTTTGAAGATCCTAACTCATCCTTAAAGTCAAATAAATTCGATAACCCCGACTTATATAACGTCGTTGAGTAATAAAAAGTTATTGATACAAAGTATAATTATTAAATATATAAATTAACTACTATGGAATCTTCAGGCGAAAGCGGATAAATTGTGGGTAAGATGGGTTAATACATACTATCTTAAGAAGGAAGATATTATGAGTTAGACGTTGAATAAAAAAATTTCTTGGATAATGAAGAGAATCATCAAATGTAGGTATAGTTTCAAGAATATCATTATTGGAAAGAGGTTAAGCTTGCAAAAAGTTATAATATGGGAAGCATGTATAAATCTATGAAGGAAACTTTGAAAAGGTGAATTAGCATAAAATGTTGGCTAGTAACTATGCAAGGCCGCGAGCGATCTTCACACTTTGGATGGTCTTGAATGGTAAGCTCTCTACTAAGGATAGGCTAATTTGTTTTGGTATGCAGATGGGTCCTAAGTGTAGTATGTATGATCATATCGAAAACTTGAATCATGTTTTCTTTAAATGCCTCGTTTTCAATGAGATTTGGAAAGGAGTGCTTCATTGGATGGGTTATATGTTGGAATGGAATAAGGAGAGGAAGTGGATGATCAATGAGTCAAGGAAAAAAGGTTGGCGTAGGCAAGTCCTGAAAATTGCATGTGCCGAAACCATCTATGAGATTTGGAAAGGAAGAAACAAAGTTATTTTTGTCCAAAAGAAAATAGAACAGAATTTAGTTGATAGAATTATTGATAATATCTTATGGAGATATAATTTTAACAAGTTGTTAAGTACTCATATTAATATGGGTTTGCGTAGTATAGTTTAGTGATTGGGCTTTGCCTGGATCCAAGTGATCGGCTTGTATTTACCTGTTTTTTGGTTAATAAGATATGCTCTTTTTCCAACAAACAAAAAAACTATAATGAAAAATGGAAAAGTTGACTTTGTAATTTATACTCTTGTATTGAAATAGTCTAGTAAAAAATAAATGGTATATGCAAATATAATAGGATTAGGCGGGTAACTCGAGATTTAACCTATAATCATCTCACCTGATGTCGGGTAATTATTTGGACGGTCTTTTGTAAATTTCTTTTGCGTTGGGCCTAGTTAGAACCTACGCAAAACCATCAATTTGAAATTGGTCTTCGTGTTGGGTTGGATCCTACATGCCCATAGGTATTACCAATACCTTAAAGGAAATCAAGAATCTTTGAATGAAGGCGCAACAAAGAGGATAGGAAAAATATGAGGTTAACCTTTAAGACCAAATAGATCAACCTCATCTTAGGAGGATTCTCTAATTTAATACCTTCCAAGATATGTAGAAAAAGGCATCATCCGTATTCAAATTCAATTTTCACCCTTCCATAGGTAGAAAACATCTTACCCGCAATTACATTTTCAAAAAGAGAAGAAAAAAATACTACAAAGGAATATAAGGGTAACAAGAGGCCCAATGGTTATCTCGATAGGAAAAGAAAACTACAATGGGAAAGTGAGTTGTATTGGACAAAGTAGTTAGTACATACGACAATCTTAAACTTTTACAATAGTGTACTGGTTCACACTATAACATTGTTGCTCATGGATGGGCACGACAAAAATTATATAGATCGAAGATCTAAGAAGGTCACTTACATAAATATGTGGATAAAAAAATTCACATAAAAACTCATAATTAGTATGAGTGAGCAAAGGATGAATTGGGATG